GCAGTGGCATTTGAATGCGATTGGTGGCGCCTATACATAGAACTTGCGGGCTTGCGGGGGCCAGCCGATGTTCAAGTCAGTGTTGTTTTTATCCTCCCAGACAAGTCTGGTACCAATTAACCGACCCCGGAGGGATGGAAGGCTTGGTTGGCCCGGGCGACTCACGACCCAGGATTTGATCCCCGGACCGCTCGCGTGGTGAGCGCGCCACTTGTCACTACACCACTTCCGCCCACACAGAGCCGGTACATATTCAAAATCTTATTACGTTCTGCGCCATCATTTCTAGCAGCTATCTGCCTAAGCAATGACTAAAACTTGAAATGAATAAATTAACGAATGAATGAATGAAAAAAAAAACGAAAAGAAAAGTAATTGCAATAGAAGGAAAAGAGATAGTAGAAAGCCGAGAAATAGCAAAGAGAAAACTGGAACGTACGTTCGCAAAGCATCCAGTCGTTGGTAACAAGTAGTTAGAAACAGCCGATATTGTGAGCAATCATTGTTGCGGCTGCCTGCAATGGAACAGGTATCTTCACCATCAAAGCTTCAAATGATGGCTATCAAATAACATATACAGCATATGCTCTTACCAAATTCGATTAGCTTCTGCATAACTTCGCGAACAATTTCCTTATTCTCCACAACTTCCAACACTTCCCACATGTATTCTATACATCGAGCACTAGCCTGATATGAAGAAACCGTGGAACAAGGAATGGAAATGCTCCAAAAAGATTACCATTTCCAGAAATCATAGAAATAATTCACAAAAAAACTTTTCTTCAACACATGGAGCAGTAAACATCAATAAAAAACTTCGAGAAATTTTTACCTGGTCACGAAATCGCTTGTCGTCGTTGGTGTCTATAAGATGACATAAGCATTTCAAGCCTGAAAAAGTTCCTGCTCTGAGCAGTTTAGAACAAAAGAGCATATGCAAAACAGAACTAACAAACCATCCAGGGTGAGTTTATTGGCAGGTATTGCACAAAAATTTTGAAGAAGAGTGGTGCGAGTGGAAGCTTTGATGCTAGAAACATTGAACTCCGTCAGCCATTCGAACAACAACTGAAACGGAATCCCTGTTATTAAAGTAAAGGTTTATTTGAAAATGTCATTGCATTACTGGTAGTCATTGTGTTCCCACTCATCTTTCTTGCGACTGCCTACAGGCTAGATAAATGCAAAGAAATAGACAAAAATCGAATATGTTTAGCTCACCGTAATCTCGGAAGAGTAATTGCTGCCAGATGACGACAATGTGTTCCACAGATGACCACAGATGTCAGTAGAGAATTCAACTACCTTAACAAAATAACCAAGAGTTTAAGACATTATCAATTTATTACTGCCAATTCCGCTTTTCAAATAGTGTGACAGGGCGTATAAAAGAGGACAGACCTGATTAAGGATGAGCCATTTCAACACAGCAAGTATGTTCTGAATCGCGAATGAGTATGTACAACCCTCTGATAGTATAACTGTGGCAAGATGTTCACTGTCCTCCAAGCTATCGTTCACCGAATCTAGAACATGAGGACAGGACATCAACTGCCAGTTATTCAGCAAAAGAATCAAACTCACTTTGTACAACTTCTTTACACGAAGCCAATCTATCATACAATGTCTTTACAATGTCCATGCCGGAAAGGAGTAATTTTACTTCTTCGAGATTCGTTTCCAGGCGAGAAAGTTCTTGAACAGATTCACATAATATAACAGCGAACAAAAGAATATGAAGAAAGCACGCATACCTCCCCACAGATCGCGAGTCCTGAACCCTCTCGAACTTGATCTACTATTTCTCACTTGAGAAACCACGTATGTAGACATTTCTAGCAGTTCGCGTAGTATCACAAGGCTCGAAATGACAAGGGGTCCCTGGAATTAAAGCATCAAAAAGGTGATCAGAATTCGATCGTCCAATCGTAATGAGAAAATGTTTTAGTAGAAACGCGGAATTTCACTTTATATGCTCTACTTGATGAGACATTGCTCACACAGTTTTTGGCGGCTTTTCGCGCTTTTAGCGGTATAACCTTTTGATTTTCAAAATTTAACAAGCATGAGCAGTAGAAATGGTTATTGCAGTCGGAATCCCACTTGCACTGTGCAGCAAGAGATTGCAAGGACTGCCTATACCAGGCGTCATTTATTCGAGATTAAAAAAGTAACCAGAATACCTAAAGTTCAGTGAGGAAAATTGTGTAAAAGGAGTCTACGTCATCGCAAATTTTGAAAGAGAAAGTTCAACACATGATTCAATTATATGGGAAATATTTCTGCCTAGTTGCTCAAAAAGTTTACTGGAACTCTGCAAAAAGAATCCCTGACTATACCTACTATGCTATATTTATGTGCATCTTAACATGTTAGTGATATTATATGTATTAACATACATAATATTGCTCGTGGTTCAAACCATTGACAATTCCCAAGGAAAGCTGGAAAAGTGCGAATGCCAAACACTAAAGAATCCCTGGTTATGTATGAATGTTCCATAGAATCTCCTTCTGACAGAGAATAATCAACCTATTCCGTTCAGGTGCTCTGGTCGATAATTGATACAAGTGGATACGGTTACATTGATAAAAAGGGAGGGAATTGTTGCAGATGCGAGGAGCCTTTTTGAGGCGTTGACCTACCCACCCGATCTTGTTAGCACTCAACACGCATAAGAGAAAAGGAACTATCACGCGCTACCGGTTTGCACAGTGAGCGTATCAAGGCATTTTTTGATGTAAGTATCCTTTAGGTGCAAGTCTTTCTTGTTGGAAATCAGCTCAACGAACCACTTAACAGCATTCAACGTCATAAAATTTTTCCTTCGGGCAAGCCCAATCAGATTCCACATAATCTGAAAGCATCGGAACAAATGCAGAATCTTCTTGAATATCTTAAATTGGACCAATTCCAACCACATAATGTCCGATTCTAAAATTAAGCTCAATTTTATCAACCTTTTCGGCTATCTGTGGACGTTCAGAATAAATACCAATATCTCTGCAGCAGAGAAAGATGCGATCATACATTCTTGTTTCGTTTGCGTGAAAACACTGGAAATCTTCTGCAGTCAAATACATCAGAAGGCATGCTACAGAAATCAACGCATTCACCCTTAATGAACAACTGTTCAAGCCAACCAATCTGCTCGCAATTGAGGCCTTTTCCAATTTGAGTGAGAATCGTAGAAAAATTATCAGCTGATACTCCCATCCTGCCTTTTCGCAACGACCAGACACCCGCTTAAGATTAGTAATAAGAAAATAGGTAACAAACAGAACCACTCGCTTACATAAGTCACTAGCTGACATTTCCGACGTCATGTATGATAGGATAGGTCTTATTTTATCAAGATAAGTCGGCTGATCCATATTTCCTTGTAGAGCTGAAAAACAAAGCAGTTCCGAAGGAACTGTACTATCAAGTGTTAGCTGCCGGAAAAAGCTTCCAGTACTCAGGTGGAAATAAGACTTTCAATGGGAAGCAGAAAGAATGCGCACCCCCACTAGTGTTCAACTTACGCTTTGAATAAAATAAAGGGATCAGCAATGGCCAGAGGAATCACCATTACCTGCCAACCAGACGAGAAATGCGTAATGAGATCTTGCGAAAAAAAAAATTAACAGACTTACCTAGCTTTAGTATGTTGTTGTCTTTGAGCCAAGAGTTGAACAAACTGATATCGAAAACATTAGGATATGATCGGGTTTTAGCAGCCAACTTCCCCAGCTTAACAAGCTTACGGATAGTTAAAGATGCGCTAAATTGTGGAAGAAAATTGTGGAATAAAGTTACCTCATGAAAAGCGAAGACCTTTGCATCAAGTTGACTACATGTTACACACCGCAAGAAGAATTTCAGTAGACTTTGATTACATGAAAAAATGCTCGCGTTCGAATGATCCATCCACTTTGTACAGATATCAATCACATCGATTACGTGAGTACGAGAAAGCTTAACAAACGTAACAGTGTTTTTGTTAGTGCTGTGCCATACAGGTTTTTTAGGGTGGAATATTTATTATGCCTGACGTTTCGACGATTTCGTCGTTATCAAAGGCCTGAAAGCATATCGAAACGTCTTGTGATGTTGCCGTTCCGCTCATAGCTGACCCACTCCTACTAAATGTAACAGCTCCACCGCGCGACTACGCGCGACTACGCGCGACTCACAGAGCAGAAGTTCGAATAACGGCCAACTCACCTTAATTCCACCAGGACGGGCCGCTCAGCTCCGCGAGTCAATGAGAAAAGTGAGACTGACCGCTTGTGTGCTGCTAGCAAAGTGCGCACGTGCCGTACGTTACGTTTGCGTAATCAGAGCTCACAAAGCGGAATGTATGGCAAGAAATCATCAGTTATGGAAATGCACTCATTCCTGTTATTCATACTCGGATTGCGTTGTTTTATCCAGAAGGCCTCGAGAGTTTTCCTAGCACCGATATCACTCTCGTACGCCAGAATCGTGCACTTAACGTCAAAGTCACAACCCGCATGACTTTCCCTCCTATGTTTGCCAAGCGGTGCGGTCAAACCTTCCCTTCGTTTACTAGCCAGATGTTCTTTTATACGTACACCCAACTGTCTCCCAGTTTCTCCAATGTACAAGGCGTTACATGTTGAACACTGAAGCTGGTAAACCACAGATCTTTGTGCACAGTCTCCTACCTTTCCATACGGGCAGATCACGCAGTTATCCATGGTGCAATTCCGGTCGTAGAGGCGATTTCTGACCAATTGATGTTTAAGGTTGTCTCTTGGTGTACTGACCAAGATAACATCATTGGCCAGGTCGGCTCTTCTTAGACACTCTTGTATAACTGCACTAAAGTGATCCGATATAAACGGAAGTTGAAGATACAACTTATTTTGAGCTCCATATGGAAAAGGCCTTGGTCTGCTACGTTCACTCCGCTGCCGTGCTGTGTAACCATTGAGATTAGCAATTTGATGAGCTAATCTTCTGGACTCTTCTCGCTCCTCGTCACCGGTGCACACCTCCACAGCTGTTCTGTACATGTTACGCAATACTGCTCGTTTAACAGCTTTTGGGTGTGCTGACAGTGCGTGAATGATGATATTTTTGGAGCTTTTCTTCCTATACCATTTCACATTGTAAAAGCCATTGGATACCTTGACCTGGGTGTTCAGGTAAGGTAACCAACCATCGCGCGGGACCTCTCGAGTGAGCCTGATGTACTGCGACTGACTGTTAAGAATATTGAATAGTTCATCCATTTCGGATTGGGTCGATGTGATTACAAAACAGTCGTCGATGTAGCGGCAGTACATGATGGGCAAGCGTGCTAGCACTGGTCGTTCGATTCTACTCATGAAGCAGACGGCTAGAACCGGTGCTAACCGTTGTCCCATTGCAAGCCCTCTGATTTGTGAGAAATATCTTCCAGACCACTTAAATATATTGCAGTTTTAAACATTCTTTGATCAGAACCATTATTTGCGTTTTGCTCAACCCAAACGTTGTCAAACTTCTTGCATGCTCGTCAAGCATTTCTGAAACGGCTTGCAAGGCTTCATTGTTGCTAACGTTGGTGTAAAGCGCAGACACGTCAAATGATTCCACAACACAATTTCGTTGAAGTCTGCAAGAACGTAAGTGGTCCAAAAATTGTCCCGTGTTCGTCAAATGTGATGGTATGTAAGTGAGAAGTTGACCGATTATCTTGTTGAGAAACCACGAAATTCGATCGGTCGGTCCGTCCACACAGCTAATTATAGGTCTTATTTTGTAATCCTGTGGCAGGAGTGATCGCATGTTCTCAGCAGACAATTTGTGCGTTTTAATTAGGCTGTAGAAGACTGGGCAAGTTGGGTTTTCCAGCTTAAGTCTTCTAATTAATCGCTTATCGAGCTCCGCTGACTTCCCCACTTTCATCCATAGCGTGTTCAACTTGTGTACCTGCATTTGGAAGGCTCTTTCTGTTGAGTTTTGGTATATAGTTGTATCAGCTAAGTGGAGTTCAGTAATTTCCTTATCCAATGATTGGGGTAGTACCACGAACTCTCCACCTTTGTCACTTACAGAAAGTCGTATCTCGTTCCTATCTAGCGTATAAGAAAAAAAACGTAACAGCTCATTCACCGTTTTTTTTCTTTTTGAGTTTCAAACATATCTACCTATCTACGTGGTGAGCACTGCAGGCAAGGTAAAAGGTTACTGAGCAGTTAACAATGATCAAAAAAAAAAAGCCAGGAATGACAAGAACATAACGTTCTCACCCGATTAAGCCAACCGGTGACTCAATAATTTCAGCATAAAAAAAAACTTTCTCACTACGTAAGCACCAATACATCCCCGCCTACGATATTCTGATCCAATCTTGACTTGAAATCATGGAATTAGTCTCTCCCAGCGCAGAAAAAAAGCAGATACGATTACTAGCCGTAACCACAACTCTTTTTTCTCGCTTAGGAAATCTCCAAGCGGTTTAGGGGACTCTCCTGGAACAAAAAGCAAAGCGAAATAAGCAAATGAATCGATTTATAAGAGTGAAACAAGTAAATGAATCGATTAATTGGTAATAGTCAACTTACCGAGTCACGAATATACTTTTCAGGAACTTCGTCTAAAACACGAAGAGATCCTTCTACAATGGAAAGCAACATGTGACGCATCTTAGTTGCATCAAGAAATTCGCGCAAAGATTCTAATGCACTGAGCAATACAAAGACGTCCTAGAAATGAAAACGAAAATATCACTAAAATAAGGAGACGATTTGTTTACAGTGAAATGTAAAACATACCATTGGAGCCAAAATGTCACGGTGATTTCGTATCAATTCATTTACATTTGAAAATCCTGATGATGTTACAAAGAGATCAATCAATTCCTGAATTATTCCAATATGTGCACCTATAAGGAACAGCTCCACCGAGTTCAGGAAACCCACCTGCAGCAACCTGTGTGGGGGATCTTTACCATTCATCGTTTTTCTAATATCGCAGAAAGACAGGTGTACATCAAAAGAGCGATTCCTGAACAACATTCAATTCAGAATAGAGTGCCAGATGGACCATATCTTCTCAATGTATACTTCTGCTTTTACTGTCCTACACATGAAAACCGTTTCAATGGCAAAAACGTGATTTTGTGCACGCTCCCTTCCCAAAGCATTTCGTAAATTCTTCTCCAACCATTCGGCCCAAGCAGAGCGCAATTTGCGGAATACAAATTGCAAGAGGAGTTATAAGTGTGAACGAAACATAAGGACACACCTTGTCCCGGCAAATAAATAAAGCAAAATTGTAACTTTGCAAATACTTACTGTAACTCTGCAGGTGAAAGACGGCGATATGCACAAAACATCTTATTACGAGGGTGGAACAGATCGGTCATTGCATGGCACAAAGGGATCGGAACTGGCAATTTCGACAGCCTGCAATACAACAAAGTTAGAACGGCCTACGAGGATATGAACGCTCCTTTCATCCACATTTGTAGCGCAGCTCATATCCGCTTACACAGAGCTGTATTTTAAAAACACAAATCCCTAATAATAGATCACAATAGCAGAATCATCACAACACAAAGTGCGCCTCCTCAATTTGAATCTTAAGAAATAATCTGTTCCAGGAGGAAAAGCTGAAACATAGGCAACAAACGAATAAACGGCAAGAAAAATTTTCTTCTATCTAATGCCAGAAGTGGTCACTAGCAGTACGAACACTGCCATACTTGCGAATGTCTGCTTTGACTAATTCGTGGCATACATATGATAAAACTAGACAATTCAAAACTGAACAGAAATTATCCGAAGAAGAAATACATAGAAAGGCTTCGTCAAAATCACACACCTTTTGGGTATCAACTGAACCACCTCCCTGCAAAAATCGACGCTTGCACTAAGGTTGACGTCATCGAGGAAAAGATGCTAAAAAATCATTGTTAAGTAGCTACGGGCATTGTAACACACTGAACAGTGGATATGTTGACTGAATCAAAAGTGAACAATTCTCAGATTTAAATTGAATGAAACCAGTGGTGCGCAATAAATTTGAAAAAAAATCTTCTTTTTTTCAGCAAATCACGTTCGAGGCAATGGTAGTATTCAGCCATATTTAGAACAGAATGCGCATGCTCTTTATAATTAGCGACCAAATATTACCTCAGGGGGATTGACATGCAGTGATATACACTTGGGGAGATAAACGTCCACAAATTCGCTACATACAGGATCAGATATGTTATTTATGAGCATTTCCTTCGAAGCCTGAAATCATATAACCACCCATTGAAGCCTTCCAGAAAATTTTCTTCGTATTTCTTGCTTGGAGACTGCATCTTGAATGTATTTCTTCTAAGAAACTTTTACAACGATATAACAAAAAAGGACCTCAACGCATCGCATAATTGAAAGTTGATCGGTGAAAATACTACATTTGTCGCTATTCACAGCTCGCCGCACACATCTGAATGATGGCGTGGGGAAAACGTCACTTGAAGGACCAGCTTCATGGTCATCACTGACCCATTCTGTGGCCGCTGTAAGGCGAATCGTGATTACCTTCAACATTACATGTACAGACAACTACTATATACAAAATGATACCTGAAGCAAAAAAATCGCTAACTGATTCCCTGCTCTCTGACAAAAGGGTGTACGCTTTACTCACATCGTTGTTCGACTTTTGCAGAGCGAGTACAACGTCTGGTTGTTCAAAACTCAAAAAGTGCATTTGAAATTGATTCACTTTTGCAGTATACGAAGAACAAAGGATGAAGAATGTTTAAGAACGGAATTAAACTAAATTTTCTGAAACAAAAAGCACTTGCACAGAATGGGGAACTCACCCATGACTCAGGAGTGTTGCGACCTTGATATCATGATCCTCTTGATCACAACAGTCATTCTCATGAGAAGAATCTATTCCAGAAAATTGTGAGGCGGATGAACGCATCCTCTGAAACAACTGAAAATGAAGCAAAAGTAGAAGCGCTTCTACGGACTGCTGTTACCCTGATCGCAATAAGCCTCTCACTTACTTCTAATATTTTGGACTTATAACGATCGTGGGCTAATGATAAATCCTTGCTTTGTCGAGGCGGGAGACATGTATTCGATCCGCGATGTTACCAAATGCGTCTAAATTTCTCGTCTGAGCATGAATCGTTTTGTGAAGACAGGAACTCACATGGAAAAGCACCAGAGCGCAGAGCAAGAAAAAAGCCTATCAATAAGATTGCATTCATACACATCATCGTTTGGAAGACTAGGAAAACAACAGACGAAGAAGCAAACATGAACTTGGTCGAGAGAATAAGAGAGTAAAATCAGGAAATTCAGAGATTAGGAGGAGCAGTTGCAAGGATCAAATACGCTTTGAATTACTTGAGGGATCTTCTAATCTACTACATATTTTCCATTCAATAGATGTCTAATCTTTTCAGAGTAAACTCCAATCTTCTGATCATCAATCCTCTATCCTATATTGAAATCCTTGAACCTACCTACTCAACTCCTAGAGGGCGCAGTCACACTCGGTCGCCCGTTCGTAACGATGCATGAAGGAAGAAAAGAGAAGAAGAAACGGGTCTACTCTAGATAGGGGGAGACATCATGATGAA